TCAGTGAGAAGTTACAATGTGTGCGTACACACACACACACACCATGAAAACGTATAAGCCACCATTGCGTTCTGGAAAGAAAGCAAATAAAAAGTTGACAATTGGCAGATCTTCTTCTTCTGTGTCTCTCCGGTCCGTATTCGGTCCGTGGCCTCCTCAATTCTCCTCTTCCATACAGTCCTCTGTTAGGCCCGTCTGTCCGAGGCTTTGATCGAGGTTTCAAGACATCTTCCTTTTTACGGTGCAAGGTTGTTAGCCTTGCGACCAACCCCCAACCTGGAGGACCAGGGTACCTGTCTTAGTCTGACCTCTCCCCCTCGACCAATCTGGCTAGGGAGGCCCTACCAGTAGCTATGCTACCGCCAGCATAGCTCTTGGAGTCACTGAAGTACTCGGCCCCACCACCACGACAAGGTTCAGGTACCATTAAGTGGGGGACAATTGGCAGATGACAAGTGAAAATTCGAAACAGTCATTAAAATTTTGTCAGTAGACAGAGGGCAGATGAGGGAAAAATATTTTGACCCTGCTAGGAATTAACTTTCGTTGTGCAGTGCCACATTTTTCTGATTCAGCTACCTGGCTCCTGACAATAAGGTTACACATCCATGAGCAGAATCTGACATTAATTTTAATTCATATATTAGAACAATGGCCCATTGATTCCTCTACTGTGCTCCACATACATCCACATCTGGGTCTACTCAATTGTAATCCAGAGAATTCAAGGGTAAAATTCCTTAATGGATTTTATTATAAACACCACTAACACTATTAACATCATCAATCAGAAAAATCTGTGACTATCCCAATGAGTCAACATCTTCCCACAAGAAAGCAATGTAATAACAACTCTACCTGTTTTACAGGTACAAAAAATACACAGAATGGTTACCAGCCCAAGAAGAATTAATGAGGAAATTCTTTGGTCCAAACTCCCCTTCTATTATTGATGCAGAAAGGAATATAAGTCTTCTTATGGTCAGCTCAAACTGGATATTCAACTATCCCATCCCACTTGTGCCATCTGTGGTGACATTCCACAGTTTGCATGTCAAGACTAAAACCGACCCACTCCCAGAGGTAAGAAATAAGCACAGTGAAGACAGATTTATTCTTTTACATGTTAAAGCTTCTAGCTTTCTCCAACACGTGCGTCTGTAACAGACTACGCCACTCCACCAGCTAATATCAGCTTTCAAAATTGGAAATACGCAGAAAATTTTTGAAGTTTATGAGATGTGTTTATAATATTATCTGGAAAGATTTTTCCGATCTTCCACTTCAGTACTGAAGTGTTGATGAAGAAACACTGAAAGGTTGTATAATTCAACAACAGTGACTGGCATTTTAAAAATCTTCATTTATGTAAAATATTATCCTTCTCCTCCATTATGTTTTGATACACTGTATCATAAAGAGAAATTAAATGAAGCTCATTTCTTTACTGAAAAGAGATAATAAAGTTTTGAAATGGTACCCCTGAGTTCAAGCAACCGCAAGAGATCTATGGATTCTGTAAAGTAAAGTTTGTCCCACTATACGCCATGTAGGCGTTTGGGGGGGAGTGGAGGTATAGCTCCTCTCTTCCTTGACCCCAGCACTAGATGGGGGTGAGAGGTCAGCATCACGCCCCGGCCGGCTTTACCCCCGGGAAAGGACCCCGGTACCCATTGTAGAGGAGGCTGGGTGGGCCCCAGAGCCGGTCTGGACGCAGAGGCTAGAGGAAAAATCCTCTGCCCCCGTCGGGGATCGAACCCCGGTCGTCCAGCCCGTAGCTAGTCACTATACTGACTGAGCTATCCCGGCTCATCTATGGATTCTGTATGTTTCCAATTTTCTATACAACAAATATAAAATATTCAGTTAATAAATTATAAAATCTTTAAAACTGTCTTATATACGTATATATATATATATATAATAGTCAAATGATTTGTTGGTAAAACCATCCAAACTGTCTGTGGATAGAACAATTTACCAAAAACAATTAAGTGTAAAACATTCAAAATGTCAACTTCCAAGGCATGAACCCAAATCTGCCTGACTATTTTAGCAATGCTGGGACAAGTCCCACACAATAAGATCAGATTACGGTCTGCAAAGCTTAGTAGTAAGAACAGTAATGATTTCAGGACCTACAGAAATTCCTTGATGAAGCTGAGGATGGCGTAATATACTTCAGCCTTGGCTCCAATGTACAAAGTGATCGCATACCAGAAGAGAAAAGGATAATTTTTCTGGAGGTTTTCTCTGAGTTACCACAGAAAATTTTATGGAAATGGGAGTCTGACATTCTGCCCAGACAGCCATCAAATGTAAAGATTGGGAAATGGTTGCCTCAGCAAGATGTTCTAGGTAATGTGACAAAAAAACAGAGAGAATATATGTGCCTAGTTATGACTGAAAAGTTACAATGACTCATGGCCAGCTCTGAAAGTCTGCCACTAAATTACTGTTAATAGTTTTTATGAAAGTCCTGTTAATTTATGTGGTAAATTCTACAGCTTGCATATAAAATAAGCAAACAAACAATTAACACTATAAAAAAGACACATACAAATTAACAGGACTTTCATAAGAACTATTAACAGTAATTTATTGGCACTAGTGTCTTTTTTATAGTGTTAATAGTTTGTTTGTTTACTTATTTTATATTGTATACACTACACGGTACGCAAAGTTTTAAGATTACAGCTTGCATATTTATTATCATTAAACATGTAAATCACGAGATGACGGATCTTACAGCTGGCCATAGATGAAATTGAGATATACCTTCTAACTTCATCATAGTTTGACATTCAAGGGAAAACAATTTACACCACCTGATTCGGCCTGAGCCACAATTTATAAATATTATATTAACAGAAAAAATATATGAAGTATCATGTTTACCTGAATGTGACGATCTTCTTCTTCAAATCTATACTTAATAATGTCAAAACGTCTCTGTTTGGTACAATTACGAAACGAGGTACAACTCAACTACCTACTCACATTTGCACTGCAAAAAGCAAAACGCCATATTATGAAGAATTCCTAGGTAGGATTTTTAGATTATGAAAAATTCGTAAGTAACATTTGAGGTTATGAAAAAATCCTAAGTAAAATTCAAGGTTATGAAACGTTCTAAATACAATTTGAGGTTAGGACAATTTCCTACTTTTATGCATAAATGATTTCAGTTTATAGTATTATAATTCAATGTGTTTTACTGTATTATTGTTGATGTGAAGTTATCAATAGTACATAATCAGGCACCACCAAACACATGCCTGCTACATAGCATTTCATTCCTATTTTAAAAAATTTTCTTCTCCATTTCCAGCTCACCCCAATATCAAGATGTTTATATCACAGTGTGGGCTCCAGAGCTTCCAAGAAGCTGTGTATTTTGGTGTGCCTATCCTGGGAATACCCTTCTTTGGAGATCAGAAGTACAATGCCAAAAAAATAGTCACAGAAGAACTTGGAGTTCAGCTGTCACTTCAAGATCTCACAAAAGAAACACTATCAGCAGCTATAAATGCAGTTCTTAATGATCCTAGGTATGTCCAAGTTACTTTTATAGACCTGTACTGTATAAAGCAAACTATAACTATGCCATCATGAAGGTCCAAGAAAACAAAGAGTGATTGGAACTGAATGGGACACATCATCTTCCAGACTATGCTGATGATGTTAATTTTTTTGGGTAAAAACATAACCATCACAAAGAAACATACACAAGCTCTATTAGATGATAGTTAAGAAGTTGGTCTAGAATTAAATGCAAAGAAAACTAAGAATATGTTCACATCTCATCATCAGACTACACCACAAACTAATTATACAAAGATAGCAACATCAAAAAATCATTTTAAAATGTGGAAAAGTTCAAATATTTGAAAATTGTGTTAACAAATCATAAAAGCATTCAGAAATCTTCAACAAATATGTCAAAAGTGTTGGCATTGATAATTTGGATTGTGATGCTGTATGAACTTGTACACAAATACAAAATATTTGTCTACACAGTGTTACTACCCAGAAGACAAACACCATTTCCATGGCCTAAGAACCTCAAATCTCTCTTTTTTAAACTTGTGAGCATGAATCGAGGTTATGGATTTCCCTACTTGGGAAAAGAATCAACTTTCAAATATGAAATTCAATAGAAAATAATGATGTAGTTTGGTGGTCATAATAAAATTTGCATTGCATAAACTTAGGTTTGGAAATCATCTTGTAGCTTTCTCTTTCTGTTTATTTACATAATGACTAAAAAATGTTAAATCCCCAAAACTTAAGTTCTACATATAACAATTCTCGATTCTTACAGGTATCAAAACAGCATGAAGAAGATGTCTGCTATATCTAAAGATGAACCACAAAATTCACTGGATCGAGCAGTATGGTGGACTGAATATGTAATACGCCATAAAGGAGCCAAACACCTGAGGTCTGCGGCACATGATTTGGCATGGTATCAGTATTTATTATTAGATATTGTGGCAGTTTTAATTCTTCTTCTCGCGATCACAATTTTTGTATCATACATTTTCCTGAAGAACATCTATAGATATCTAACTAAGAAATATTATGAAGTCAAATCAAAACATGATTAGACTTACAATGGCTGTACACATTACCAAATAAAAATGTAACATGTAACAACATCTTCATTCTATGGTATACCTATTAATAGTATTCTTTACCTATGACAACATTTTGACAAAATGTGGAAGAATAAATAAACATAAGTCCAAACATGAAGTTAAAGATATAATTTCAGCATGGATTCATCTGGCTCAGGACTGAGATTAATCATGGGCTGTTGTGAATACAACAGTTATTCTTATCTTCCATTAAAGGCATGGAAGTTCTTGACTAGCTCCTTCTCCAGAATGATTTTCGTCCATTAAATGAGTTAGTAATGTAATAAAACAGCTTTCACTATGCAACATTTTCACAAACAATATTAAACACAAATTACATCAAAAAAACTGTAGCCATGTATCATTAGCTGTGGTGTCTGTACATATGTGATCCCACCTGAGATTATCCTCCCATCTACGTCTAGGTCTCCCCAGCGGTCTCTTCCCCTCAGGCTTCCCAACCAATACCTGGTGCACACCTCTTGTCCCATTCATGCGTGCTACATGTCCCTCCCATCTCATTCTTCTCGACTTAATCACCCTGACAATACTGGGGGAGTACAGATTTTTAAGCTCATTATTATGCAGTTTTCTCCATGCCCCATCGTCTTCTCTTCTAGGCCCAAATATCCTCCTCAACACCCTGTTCTCAAACACCTGCAATCTGTGTTCCTCCCTCTGAGCGAGAGACCATGTTTCGCACCCATACAAACCAACAGGCAGAATTATTGTTTTGTATACTTTAATTTTCAGGTTTCTAGAAATCAGACGGGAAGACAAAATATTTTGAACTGAGAAGTAGCAAGCATTTCCGGAATTTACTCTCCTCCTAACTTCCTCATGAGTATCATTTTGATTTGTTATTGTTGTTCCCAGATATTTGAACTTTGTAACCCTCTCAAAGGACTTATTAGCCACCCTAAGATAATTCTGCCTGCCTGTCTGCTGATGATGAGATACTAACATGTACTTCGTTTTTTCTGAATTTACTTCTAGCCCCACCTGTCTGCTAGCCTCTAGTAAAACTTCTGTGTTCCTATTTATTGTATTTATATCGTCCCCCAATAAATTAACATCAGTATATGCCAATAGCTGATGTGTCCCATTTAATTGCAAACCCTCCTGCCCATCTTGGACTTTCCTGATGGCATATTCTAGCGCCAAGTTAAAGAGCAAGGGAGACAAAGCATCTCCTTGTTAATTAATAACTGATTTGGCACTTTCACTGCAACTAAACCCAATACAATATTTTGGGCAACAAGCCGCATCAGTTATGGACAAAAGCTTTAGACCACAACTGACATGGCTTATTAAATAAAAGGATTCAACAGACTTAAGAAAACACTTGTTTATGATAACATTCAATTGTTTAAAGAATATATATCCACTTGGTGATGGTGAGACTGTGAACACTGATACTTTTTGTCACTGTTAAGTCAATAGGAAGGAAATATATATTTAATTAAACTGGATTTAATTAGCTCAGGACAGGGTCTAATTGTGGATGTGAAATGTGAAATTTGGTATGGAGATGGATCACAAACACATACATAAATCTGTATTTATTTTTATCTTACGAATTACAAACATGGCATTGTAAGTTTTTCCCACAACTTCTTGTTTCATTGGTGTGGATCAAAGTCAGTAAACTTTATTAACCTGCTATCATGTGATTCACATTTAATTTGACAATAAAAATATCTGATAACCCTCTACCTAATTCAATTTTAACACTGGAGTGTCTGAGATGAATAAACCTTTCTGCAGAATGAATACGGTTTTCAGCGATAAGTGTTGCCCGCAGTTGTAGTCCTGCCCATGTGACTTAAACCAAAACTGACAAAAGAGGACAATCTTAAACAAACAAAATCCACTGGGTTAAAAATACAAATATCGTCATCTATCAAGGATTGGGCCCTTGGCCCGTTCCGGACAGTCGCCCAAGGCAAGGCAAGGTAACAGGTGACAAGCCTGCTGCCTCCAAACAATTTCTACTCATCCCTCATTTGTCTGCTAGTGCTTTCTAGTAGTGTATCATAAGAGACATGGGTAATAAAATATAAATACAGATATGTTTTGTTAATAGAAAAAATAATTTGTGGTACAAATTTCCAAAATGTCTATACCAAATAATTATCTTCTTCAAGAACGAACAACTTTCCATCTTGCCCCATTCTCAACCTCTGAAGGCGGTAGCATTTAGCGTCGTTTTCTAAGAGTGGTATGTGCCGCTTTTTCAAGTCTTTTATAGTAGCTGGAAAAATAAGTATCGTGCTTCAAATGTTACTAATCTCTTGCCATGCCCAACACAGTAAAATTAAATTTCACCTGCTGTGTTTTGCATACTAAAATTTACTGCAAGTGTAGATATTTATTTGGCTCCATACATGCAAAAATTTATGGGCATTATCAATACAGATTTTTAAATAATAGATCAACATTTCACATTTCTCAGATCGTAGAGGAAAAGAGGTGTACAGCAGCTATTTATATACTTCAAGAAAGCTTATTATTGACGTCAAGGTTAAGAATGTAAGGAGTAATACCCTCACTCCCCTATACATCTCACTGCATATCCAAGCTCATGAAAAAATTTTACCTTCACCCATGTTTCAGTCAGGACAGAAACGCTGCAAAATATTCTCATGTAATTCAGAAACCAAAAAAACTATTCTGACCTCTTAAGATATTTAAGTTAAGCCTATGGTAAAGTCTGCATAGGAAAAAATTGACAGTGGAACCAGACAGAAAATCTATTATTTGCTAGTCAAGAAATAAGTCCTACAGAAAAGAATGAACTGTATGTTACTGTCTTAAGACCAGAATGCACACCAAGAAAACAATATAAAGTCAGATAATAAATACTTTGAAAATTAGTAAAGTTTATATATTTTGGAACAGTACAACATGAAGACAAAGCAAGCGAATGACGCAAGCAACTTGACTGTGAAGCTACGACTCTCACCAAGTATAGGAACATAGATATACCTGAAACATCAACATAATTAATGCCACATGTACAGCTCACATACAAATCCTAATTCTTACTAAACACAGAAATATGATGTTCATAACTACCCCACTTAATGGTACCTGCACCTTGTCGTGGTACCTCTGTGACCCCAAAAGCTATGCTGGTGGTAGCATAGCTACTGGTAGGGCCTCCCTAGACAGATTGGTCGAGGGGGAGAGGACAGACTAAGACAGGTACCCTGGTCCTCCAGGTTGGGGGGTTGGTCGCAAGGCTAACAACCTTGCACCTTAAAAAGGAAGACGTTTCGTAACCTCCATCAAAGCCTCGGACAGACAGACCTAACAGAGGACCGAAGGAAGAGGAGAATTGAGGAGGCCATGGACCGAACGCGGACCGGAGAGCCATAGAAGAAGAAGAAGAAAATATCAAAATTACATTCACAATGAAATTTAGAGTAATGAAACTTACTAAATGCTTGCTATTACTAAGATCACAAACTTTTTATCTTCCCTTCCATCTAAAAACCTAAAGATTAAAATGTGCAAGATCATAATTTTAGTTGTGATTTTGTATGGATTTGAACTTGGTCTCTCACCACAAGATAAAAAAGACTTGACAGACTGAAGGTGTATGATAACAAGGTATAAAGGAAAATATAAGGACCTGAGAGAGAAGTAATACAGTAAAACAAAAGAGAGCTAAAGAAACAACACAAGACAGTAGTAGCAGATTACATACCCCTGAAATGAGTCCTGAAGTAATCCCAATCCTTATATGGATAGCATTTCTTAAGCAGTTTTCGAAATATTCCCCACAAGAACATTGGACCAACACCAAAATCTTTTGCAATATCAGCCCAACTTATATCTTGCCACCACTTCACACGGTCCATATACAGTCTGCAAGAGACAGCATCTCAAATTAATATCGAGCCACAACGGAGAAAGGGTGACGGGGAAGACTATGTCTCTATGATACTTCGTCTGCTAACACGTTCAATGTCCAGTGCCCAGATAATATATCACTCAATATGGAGCAGCAGTGGAATATTACAGACAGGAAAAAATTTATACTCAGAGGAACATTTGTCCCAGTTCCACTTTGCCCAATACAAGTCCCAGATGTACTGTCCTGGGCACAAACCCAAGCCTCTGCAGTGAAATGTCAGCAACTACCTGCCTGAAGTTTGGCATGGCAAGCAACGACGACTCACTAATTAAACTCTTACTTTACAATGGTCCTTGGCTGGTACAAGAGGACAAGGGAAAAAAAAAAATTAAATAACAGTGGAGTTAAGTGAAATGTTCCACTAAACTTTGAATGTTAATTACCGACTCAACCAACCAACTATACATACACCTCCCCTTCCCTCTCCTGAATGGTACATATCTGAGGGGTAGATTGACCAAGTTTACAGCACAAATGAAACCCAAGGACCATCTTAAAGTAACGTAACAGACCAGTAAGGCATGGGTTGCCTAAGCTACTAACAAAAAATACACAAAATTGCCTTTTAAATTTCCCTCTCAAACAAAATTCTAGTTTTGAAATGTGTTGCTGGAGTTTGTTATGAATTAACATGCACGAATTCTTTAAGACATTGCATATCAAGGTTTCACGGTGCTACTTTATTTATTTGACAAACAGGACTTACCTCATTATTAGTTTAATTCTAATTTCCTGTAAGTATATTGGCTCTGGGCAAAACAACTGTGTGGACAGTTTATTCCTCCAAATGTCTCTTACATATTCTGCGTTAATTCCACAATCTTTTTCAACTTTTCTCCAATCCATTGAAGTAATATGTTTATGGTACAGATCGTTCACATCTTTTAAACCGGTAACCTTCAAAAGGCTCTTTATTACCATTTCCACCTTCTGCAAATTCCAAGTAATACGTCCTACAGCAATTAAATAATATTAACAAATTAATATAATTTCCTCACAACTGTACTACTATCACTTTCATTATTATAATTTACTGTAATAATAACACTCAAAAATTTGGTACTCCACCTTGTCCTGATTGCTCTTGTTGAAGCCACTTGTATCTCTTATAAACAGAGAGTCTGTCCCTGTTGAGAAGGTTTGCCAGAGTTGAAAATGCATTTTTATCATCTCCTTTTGACAAATGGCGCATAATAAGATAATTTTCTGCTTCAGTGAACCTATGTAACAATTATTATAACACAATATTATCTTGATCACAATGTGAGGTTATGTCAAAGTCTAGACAGCAGAAGACAATTGGTGTTCACCTGAGCCTAAAGCCTGTAGTAACTCACATAATATTAAATTAAAAATAACAATGCACTTTTCCTCCTGCATAAGTTATGTGTGATTTATAATCCGAAGAAGAGGGGGACAACATTGAACATACTGCCATTCGCACAATCTGAAAACTTTTTTAATACAGATGTAGAAAACATACAACAAAATTTATGCAACTGAAATATGAATGTGTTTATACTGAAAAAAGGATAGGAAATACTGTGATTAAATTAATTAATTAAATTAATAGTCCACAATTAAAGCACAAATTTATAGTCACAATTCTAGGCCCATTTAAGATGCTCTGGAGAGATTTATTTAGATTTTCAAGCATGGCGAAACTGCTGTTTACACATGTGTACATCTTCATTAAAATATTTTACTCTCTCAGTTCACATAACTTACTTTCCTTTCACGTGAGGCCTGTATAAAGTCCGAAATCTTGCATATATGCTGTACAGTGTTCGATGTGGGAGGCCACTTCCCAAATACTGAACAAAATGTTTTCGTTCAGAATACTTCATGGGGAAAAATTTTTGTCCAAGCAGCATAAATGGTGCTGTATCTTCAAAACCATACTCCTATAAACAAATAAATAAATAAATCAGTTTAATATTTGACACCCAGGATAAAATTGGAACAAATTTCATATGAAACACAATTACCCGGCTAAAACGTTCCCAGTTTTCGCAAATGACAGAATCTTCAACAGGAGTAAATTTCTTTGACTTTAACTGCACACCAAGATTAGCAAGCAGCTCCCTTTGTCCTTCTGTGGGTACGTGTGTCAAACGCGTTTCAACACAGTGGGATGCCGGAACATCTACTGGTACCACTATCTCCGTATCCGTTAATTTCTGAAAAAAGATAACAGGACTTTTCATATATAGTTTACTATGCAACAGTTTAATTACATGGCTATGAGCATATGCATAGAGTAAACATATTTATTGTAAACTTCCTTCATTTTTAAATTATTTGTTACAGTTACTAACATTATAACCCTGCTGCCCTTTTATCACAACTGCTTTAATCATCCCATCCGCCAGCAATGGCTGTGTGATTTACAAAGCAATCAACTGCTTCTATTCTTTTCCCTTCTGCAGACATTTACAATCAGTACAAGCAGTATCCATTTAATATTACTTAGTAAAAAATGTACGAAAAAATACACACCTTTCTTAGTACATATGATAATTCTGGATCAAAATCTGCTTCAGCTAACACGGCTCTATACGTTTCTTCAGCTTCATCTCCTTGTTCATGTGATGGCAATTTCTCAAAGCCTTCCTCTGTCCTCTCCAAATCTTCACAACACTCTGACATAGTCACATTTTCACTTTCTTTTGTATTGTGAAACTCTGAACTATTCTGATCCCTTGTGTGTCCACGCTTCTTCTTTTTATGCTTTCCAGGAATGAAGTCTCTATCGCAAGGCTCCTGCAAACCATTAATATTTACACTTGATAAAATGGTTTCTCCTTTCTCCATAGTTTCATCTTCATAATTGACACGACTTTTCGGCAGAACTGATTCTGTATTCCAATCTTCCACAGATGCTTTTTTTCTCTTTCTATTCTTCTTACAAATATGCCCAATCTTCAGCTCTTCTGTACATTCTTCCAACATCCTTCCTATTTTACTTTCAAATACTAGATCTGTCAAGGCTGTGATAAATAGCTACATGCAATAAAGATTTACTTTACCATCTTTTATCTTACACTTTTACTTGATATCTCATCCTGTTATTCCATGCACCTTCTAATTCCTACTTATTATACTGAACACCTCTGACACTATTTCTATTCCATCTAGACAAAAATTAAATTTTCTTAACTGAACGAATTCACTTCTTGACAAGCACCACAATGTATGTAATTTATTTATGTCTGTATCTCTGCACTGGATGAATACAGTGCTTCCCATGTAAGAACAAAAATCTGTTGTGTTCACTTCAGTTCACCTTCCCAATTTCCTTTGTAATCTGCAAACAAGTTTAGTAAAATGTGTGATTCAAAGAAGTTTCATTACATTTACTTTATATTCAACATTTTATTGCAAACTGACATTATATATCAATTTTCTTTGTTATTACTTCCAATATCAATAATATATATTCAAGAATACACAAACATTTCCTGCAAAATATAAACAGCATTTCATTGCAGTCAATTAGAATGTGAGGCAAGAACATGCAAAGAAAAATTAAAAACAATTCACAAATCACATAAGAATACGCACAATATACATCACAAACACATTAATATAATTATTCCATAATAAGTTTTATGTTTCCCTGTAAATTAACTGTATAAGGTTTAAAAATTCATCGATAGATAGTGTGCACCAAAAGGCATTCCATTAATGGTAACTGAAAGTAGGGTAATTTCAGAGAGACTTTCATTTCTTACTGATAACTTGTTTTTGCGAATTTACTCCTGCACTTTATTAAAGCACCACTCGTCTCTTTAAGTCCATGAACCTACATGTTAGCAATCAACTTAAGTAACGCATATAACTGTAGTTCTGAATTATTTATTGGGTGGTTAACTACGTAAGAGGCCATACAAAAGAAGGGGCTGGTAGTTCAATGTTTATATTAATTTCTGGAACGTTAACTGTAATCAAGATATGACAACAAAACCATTACGAGCGAAAGGCAGAATTACGTACAGAAAGAACGAAACATACTGCAATATCTCATGTATTACGGATTCCATCTCGACTAGGATATTAAAATGTTAGGTTATGTTTCAATACCTGCGTAAAGACGAATCGCCAGTGCGAACCTACTAAATGGCGGCTTCCCACATAGACATAACACACATATACGCGTGTAAATGAAAGATAATTTGTATGATAACTATTAAATCCCGGCGGTACATAAACTTCACAGCTACGGGCACAGGCACATGCACAATCGAATATAAACTACCAAATACTTATCAGCTTAGCAAACCTTACAACAAAAAATACCTTGCAGACTATAACTGAGGATGTAATTGTGCTGACAAGTTTTGTTTTCTTGGCTGAAAGCCATATATACTAATTGCCCAATGTTTGTATCATCTATGCTAAGGGCTGTTACTATTGGTGTATGGCTGCCTCCATCAACAAAATCTGTCTTTTATAAAAAGGGTTTTCATTGACTGGATGACTGGGAGTTGAACTCAGAAAATCACTGGCTGGAGACCTTCGTGACAAGTGGTAACACAAAATTTTCACATTATTATGATTATACAACTACAGCTCATATGCAAAAAGCCTGGTTAAAGATTAGACCCTTTCATTACTGTGCAATATTTTTTTTCAAATCAAACAGTACAAAAGACACACAAAGTTGAAATGCTAAATACCATATTGTCCACATTATATTGCATTAATAAAAAAAGAACAGGATGCTAAAATCTTTTATTTTCAATATACAGATTATGCTCTTCATGTTAACAAGGTTATACAAAAAAATCAGTCCTTAAAATCTCCTAATGATTAATATCTCTGAACAGTTCAGCATCTCTTCTTCATTGTCTTCAAAGCTTGAAATCTTTGCGACATGTGGGACACTTCAGTTCTACCTGTAAGAAGTAACAGAACATTTTGTATTCTGAAGCCTGTAACAGCAATCTCTCACTCAAACACAACTGTTTATGTAAATTACTACATCCATTTATGCTTCAAACATAATATAACAGAGTACTACATCTTAATATATACCAGAACAGCCGAGATTTCATTACACACACTACAACTGGGCTTATTTATAAATTAAATAATTAGAACTGTCATACGCAACATATTAACAGTCATCACAATATCTGCAATTAAATAGCTAACAAAAAGTTTTATAAATAAACCCTTTTACAATTATTGGCTATTCACTTCCTTACTTGCCAAATGCCTAAAGCACCTTGTTAGCCAACTGGTACTGCAACATCAAAATCTAGGCATCTTAATAATGGTTTTATCTGTTGAGGAAAATGTTATTTCAAAGAAACAAGCCACACCATGTAATTTACAACAGATATATTCATTCGCTCTGTTGTTTTGTATGGGTGCGAAACATGGTCTCTCACTCAGAGGAAGGAACACAGATTGCAGGTGTTTGAGAATCGGGTGTTGAGGAGGATATTTGGGCCTAAGAGGGAAGACGATGGGGCGTGGAGAAAACTGCACAATGACGAGCTTAAAAATCTGTACTGCTCCCCCAGTATTGTGAGGGTGATTAAGTCGAGAAGAGTGAGATGGGCGGGACATGTAGCGCGCATGGATGGGACAAGAGGTGTGCACCGGGTACTGGTTGGGAAACCTGAAGGGAAGAGACCGCTGGGGAGACCTAGACGTAGATGGGAGGATAATGTCAGGCGGGGTCTATGGGAGATAGGAGTTGAAGGAGACTGGATTTTGTTGGCCCAGGACAGGGTCCGGTGGAGGGCTTTGGTTAATTCGGTGATGAACATTCGGGTTCCGTAAGCCATCTGGTTGGTTGGGTCCACTATTTGGGAAGTCTGAGGGGAAGAGACCTCTGGGGAGACCTAGACGTAGATGGGAGGATAATGTCAGGCGGGGTCTATGGGAGATAGGAGTTGAAGGAGACTGGATTTTGTTGGCCCAGGACAGGGTCCGGTGGAGGGCTTTGGTTAATTCGGTGATGAACCTTCAAGTTCGGTAAGCCATCTAGTTAGTTAGTTAGTTATATTCATTCGCTGCATGGTTTTTAAAATTGCTACAGTTTTCTTCCACGTGTACATGGTTTACAACACTAATGCTCTGTGAGAACACTTACTCCAGAAGCTTTCATTTTTCTCACACAAGCACAATGGTACTGGTGTCCACAAGGAAGAACAATCAGTTCTTCCATATCTGACAAGCAGATCGGGCATGTTCCATTACTAAACACTTTACCAGGCCTACAAAAATGAAAGTCATACAAATTAGTTGAATGTGTACACAGAACCATGAAAGTTACTTTTAAAAAAGCTGTATCTATGCACAAAGATAACCGGAAGTCTTCAATATTTCTAATAAATTCAGAATTGTTCCCTGTTACTACAAACTATGAATTAGAATTTGAATGTGACTAACAAAAGCACAGCAATGTGATGTACATAATTCAAATTACATTAGCTACTAAATGTTGATCAGAAATTTTCCTAAAAAGTATCACTTTGAGGTTATGTCCAATAACTTTAAGAAATTTTCTACATTTTGTACAGAGTGCTGATACTGATGTCAGTACATCGCCAGGAAAATAGCTGTGGTCTGACTCTCCAAAGATCGAAAAATACGGCTTTAAAAACATGTCTTAGCAATTAATTAATAACTGTTCAATGACATTTCCTTAGCCAATCAGTCCACAGTGGACCAACACTTTGGTGTATCTATACTCATTTATATTTTCTCAGTTTCCTGTTATACAGCATAAGAAAAATCACAACCATTAACTCTGATTTTTAATTTGTAAGTACTTTCTCCAAAAGCCGTAACATTCCAACACAAAAATTTTCCGTTACCTAGAATAGTGAGCTTGTTCCATGGGTTCCTTCTTTAACAAATGGTAACCAACTGCACCAACTGCGGCACCAATAACGGCAAATACTCCTGCTGTTGCAAAAGAAATTCCACTTCCTGACTGCTCCTTTTCTGTGGGCTCCATTTCTTTATCTTTTCTTCGTTGTCACAAAATATATTAATATGGAATAGCCACGTATAGACTACCATATAGAGTGCAGCACTGTATAATAACAAATCACAGATAATAAAACTCGCGGATGTTCTATTAATTTATAATTTCCCGTGCTTTACGTATATTCAAATTCCAGTAATCCTTAGCAGTTTTGACAGCCGATGTATTTGTTCAGAATAATTTTATTACAATGGGATACAGATGGAGTGGCGGAAATTAATGATTTAAAATAAAGTGAAAAAAAAACAGTAGTAGTTAAACGTAACAGGTAATCTGCGTGAAACGTGTGATTTATGCTGCAGGAAAATTTCCCCATTGTTTCCAACAGCTCGGTGCTTTGTTCTACTCTCCTTTCCTCGCTCGACAAGTCTTGCTAAATACATGGACTTATTAGTAGACACCAATATACTGCCTCCATTTTCAACGCTGCGAGAACCTGAAATCTCATGAGACATTTTGGAGAGTCCAACAAGTTTAAAAATTCTGTGACATTAACTGCACTTACGCTACAATGCACAAATTTTTGTCAGTGGTGTTTTGGTTGGTTCCTGTGAGAAACACGCAGGGCTTTCTTGACAATACTTCCGGTCACTTTTGATTTAGTCCTAAATAAAATACTGCAAGTACGTAATTGTAAATATTGAAGGAAAGCCAATGAACCGCCACGAACTTTGAAATTTTATAAAAAAAAACATCTTTAGAGAATCTAGAAACACTTTTAACTGTCACTACTTAGGTCTACTCGTGTTTAAATAACAAATTAAAGTGAGATTTGAGGTTCTTAAGGCAACGAGCATTAAGTTGAGTGAGTCACTTATCCACTCTGACGCCTAGATACCAGACACACATCCCGGGAGACAGCCACCAGCCATCAAGATAAGGTCCCTTCAAGGAAACCAGTTATTCCTATGTAAAATATAAATCACGTCCAGAGATTTGTGTTTGAGAATATTCGCTAAGAAGTTCTGATTCCTGCAGGATTTTTTGTGGGGTCATTTCCACACATAATGCTGAAAAATTTTGCAATAGTAAAATTAAAATATTTTGGCGGATAAATACACAAGGCCTGCAGGCACCTCAAGTCCGAATAAATTATTCTAAGAATGTCTTTAAGACATTCCACTCGTACGTAAATAATTCAGTAATTTTTGTAGACGGCGTGTACGCGTCTGCGAATATAAATATCATTTAAACATAAAGATTGCTTTACATTAAGGATACAATACGAAAAAAAGATGACACGCACAAGAACTAAAACATTTCACAATTTATTAACAAATATTGAATATAGAAAATTAACTACAAGTTTGGTCAAGGGGTTAGTTTAGTTTCTTACACAAGATTTTAAAACGCAACCCCCCCCCCCTGAAGGGGTTGGTTGCGTATTAAAAACTTTATCAACCCCCCTGAGGAGCTCCGAAAGGAGCGCTCTGCTCTAGTATTGAAAAATGAGCAATTAACTTACGTGGATATATTTTACATAGTTTGTTTGTAACTTCTTCGCGGAACATGAATACATATTACGATTTTTAAGTCACTTCCCGAAATACAGAACGAAAAATATCATCCGGTTTATTCACGAGAACAAAGCTGTGTCATCGTGCAGAAGAACGAGGACATGAGGAAAGTGGACAGAGGAGAAGACAAAGTTGGGTAAATGACGATACAGTAATCACAAACATTTTAAAGTCGAGGTCAGGATAAAAATTCTTCTTGGTCAATTGAGGTTATGTGTCACCGACGTAAAAAAAAAGCGTCCAGGCTTACAAACATGACAGCCGTAACGAAGAGTATGAAAGACGAGCAGCTATGAGCGCCAGTATCTGAAAAAGAGGCTATTATTAGTAAGGACGCTTTTAGATGTAAAAAAAAAAATTAGATTGCAGATGATTGTGACGCCGTACAGGCTTCTAGGTGATTACAAAAGTCTCGAAGAAAGTTATCTCCTCTAGCTTCAGGGTAGATCACTAGACATCAGAACCCAGAAGACCACTAAAACAATTTCCACTGTCGTCTAGTACAGTGGTATTCAACCTGGGGTACGCGTACCCCCGGGGGTACGCGAAGACATCTTTGGGGGTACGTGAAATTTAAAAAAAAATATATTATTTTATGATAAACACTGAATAATCAGTAATGTAATTTATTTTAGATGTAGATTATATACTATGTATAACTTGAATTATACACCAACAACTTTGGGGGTACAAAGTTGAAGAGAAATTATATCTGGGGGTACGCGAACAAAAAAAGGTTGAACACCACTGGTCTAGAACATGCAACACTTCGTTCACAGTTTAGTTCCACCACTTAAATATAAGCTTTCAGAACGAAATCAGGTCTACATATTTTTTTAAATGTATTTCTAGATTAGCTAGTAGAAAAATATGTTCGACATATTGAGGAAATTTATATCTACGGCCACTGCTTTCAGTCTCCACCGCACAACATCGCTACTTTAATATATTAAAAAAACAGTTGAAGGAAACTAACAGATACAGAGAAAATTTACAAGGAGGCAGAAAGGAACAGACGATAAATTACATGGAATGAATCACGTATAGATTCCCTGGTGACGTAAACTTGACAACAAAGATTTCTTTATCATATCTTGAACTGATAATGTTTGAAATGTTATTGTTTGCTGTCAAATGTGCCAAAATAAGCTATTTTGTAAGAAAATTTGCGTGAAGGTAAACCGAACGTTCTAGCTAAAATAGTGTGATTTTTTTTTTAATTTTTATATAATTTAATCCCATTTCGTGACTATCGAACGTAGGCGTATCTTTCTCTATTCGTTCCGTACTGACTCTCTTTTTAAAATTTCTAACTTTCTACACAATTTTTAATTACCGTTTAAACCTCAGTTAATCCGCCCCTGGATAATAATGTGCAGTCTACTTTAGATCCCGTGGAGCCCCATAAGTTAATGACAGCAATATTTGTAGACAATTAAAAGGAATGAGTCTCAGACGTTAATTGGGGCACACAAAAGCACGCGAACAGTGCAAAAGGTTACGCTGTTATAACCTACTTACTTCTGCCGGGGTTCGACTCCTTGCGCTGTCCTTTCTCGAAATCGCATTTTCCTTCGACGCAAGTCAGCTCCGAGCCGTCTATTCCAGACTCGACGTGGCAGTCTGAATGCGATGAACACTGTTCACCCAGCCCTTGAACATGCATAAAGAGATCGTGAAGGATGGAGAAACGGGTAGCGATTTAACGATCCGTGGTCCCACCTGCACGTGACGTAACAGGCCCTAGCTCTGGCGGAATAATGTACCGCTGTTACGACTTCTTCATTCGAAATCCAAAAATGGAGGCTTCAAGTTGGAAGATGATAGCGGTCAGAGCACATGTCACTGGACAGGCGGCAGAAACAACTCTCAGAGAAATTCGACTCCTCTTAAACATTCCTAAGGTTTACTGTCGTCTTCGAAAGAACCTGCCCCTGGTAGCCATTGCGATGTTTCGTAAGATTCTAAGAGCACGCAGCGATTATTTCCTTAAATAACATTAATCAGGTGATATTTGTAATGGTGAAGTGTAGTGTTTTCTTCGCGGTACGAACCAAATCTTTAAATAACGCTTAGACGAGCTTAGATCAAATCCCACGTTGTACTACATTCCTCTCATGTGGAACTCCCAGCGTTAACACAAAAAAATTTCGCCCTAAAGAAGCCCCGAATGTGAAAACCAAAATTAAACCAAACGCTTGCATCCCAAGGACAATATATCAAAATTAAAAATTCTGACCAAATTCAACGAGATTATACTTGGTCCACTTTTAGTCTCTCAACTTTCAGACGCCTCACCGACTCTTCGACGTAAATTTACCATGAGGTCAAGTGGGCAATGCCTGGGGACTTTCATAACCAAAATATCTCTCATTACTCTCCCCGAGAAGTTTAAGCAGATGGGTCTTATATACAAAAAGTGCAGTTTATTTCACTTTATTAAATATCAGTACGTCTTACGTCGTTTAATACCTTTATTCTCGACACACTCGTTGTTCACCTCGTGGAAATCGTCTCTGCAGACGCATCTTGTGTGACAGCGACGTCCTGGGCCAAAGGACTCCGAACATTGAATGTCCTGCACACACGGATCGTGTAGGCCCTTCAGTACTGTAACATAGCCCATTCACCACGTCCTTTGCGATTATCAGTGACCAATCGATGAATTATTACGAATATTTCAAAATTCTTTACGGGCACCCACAAACACTTCTGAGGGCATGAAGGTTCCCGCGGGGTGGAGATCCCCGACGTATTTGGTCAATCATTTCCATTTAATACATCGAAAACTAAGGCCCAGTCCAGTTTGTACTCACTTGGAAGGCAGGCCTGCTTGTCAGGGCTGGCGACGTGTCCTTCGTCACAACTGCAGAGGTTCTGTCGACAGAACGCTTTCCCGATGTGCTCACATTCCCCGTCGGAATCACAATATTCAGAAGGAACTGCAAGAAACAGGGAAGATGCAAAGATGATTGGCGGATTGGGTTCGGACCGACTTGAACTTACATCGCATTCCTGGTTCGAGACGAGACGAGGGGTGCACAGGTCCCGGGGATCTACAGTGAAAACTAATTAACTCCAACGATCTCAGCCTTTCTTGATAAACTGATAGTCGCTCAAATAGTCAAGAAATTATTAGTCTTTTACGAAACGCGAAGTTTTATTGCTAAATTCATAATAGCCAGCCACTTTATACTATCATGAACCCCACGGAGTACTTTTACGATCTCCTATTTAGTTAAGATCCACTTTAATATTATCCTACCATCAAAGACTTGATCTCCTATTTAAGACATCTGTGGATTTCTGTCCCCCCCCCTTCTATGGAAGCCATTCAAGACTCTTAAGTGTTAAAAGTCGTGTGGATGAACGCGCTCACATTTCTTCTGGAAACACGCGCCATCGACAATCACAGCGTCTCTCGCACAACGGCATTCTCCTTCATCGCAGACGACGAGTTCCCCCAGAAGTTTGCACTGGACGTCTTCTCGACAACTGGCGCCCCGTTCAGTAGCAGCTGAAAAAGGTTCGGCCAAACGTTGCACGCTAATTCGATAACACACTTTTCGTAATTACGTTGATATTTAGAGAATTCATTTTTGCAAATTCTTCCTCTTAACGCTTCTGTCGAGATGTTAAAAAATAACAGCTGTCAGAGAAAGAGACGTGTGTGGTTCAGAGGCCCATAACATGTGAAGATCGTGACTTTCTAGAGGCATTTCCTTGTCCTGAACACGTATAACATTTCTAGTAGAAACATCGTCGTTAAATATTCTAACCGTTGGTTGTTGAGGATTTTTGAATTTATGGGAAAATATTTGTATAGGATTTGAAGTTTTCACGACAGTGAGTCTGAAGATGGCCGTCTTCTGGGTTTTGCCCTGTGTAGTCTGGTAGAAGTTTACAGACGTTTCAGAAGTCCTTGCTGCCTCCATCATCAGGGCGATGAGTCACTCAGCAAGGACCTGTGAAACGTCTGTAAACTTCTACCAGACTACACGGGGCAAAACCCAGAAGACGGCCATCTTTAAAAATATCGTGCGTATTTACTAGTTTATATTCTTCCGTCATCATTGAAAGTCAATTTATTGGTTTATTAAGAAAATTAAGATACGAAAGGAGTTTTAATGGGTTAACTGTAAGATAATTCGAACTAGTATAGCCTAAATTGATTGAAGTATCTGAAGGAAGTAATCAGAATTCGTAATTACAACTCGTCATTTTGTTTAGGTCTTAAATTCTGTCATGAAGATGCTGTGAAGGCGGACACTGAGTGTGTTTAATGGAAGTTCAGGAAATAGCAGCAGGTGAATTGCTAGGAAAATATTTTCGGTACCTGGAAGGCATTCTGTGCGTCCGGCCACTTGTCCGAGCTGGCACTCACAGGTCTTATTGCTCTCCACAAACCGCGAGCCTCCGGTACAAACACACACATTGTCTATGCAGTTGCTGAGATTCGGGACCTCCCATAGCTCGTCACATCCCTGCTTTGTTCGACAGTGTGGCGTTTCTGAAACGAAAAAAATAAATTGCAATAAAAATGAAGAGTCAATCAGGCGAACACATTTAATTTTAATCACCACCACTTCCTTAAACTACCAACTACAAACGAACTAATTTAGAAAAGTCGATGTGCTTCTTTGAACACAGACAATCGCTGTTTTCAAAAAAATGCCTTGACTTTTATGGAATTTTAAAGTTCATTGCCGTATTCACAAAAGTCAGCCACTAGTACGAAACACTGACTGCGTCAAGGTACAAAGTATCATTTCATCTAACATAGCACATAGTATCAATTACTAATGATAATCTTTTGAATCCATAGCTTATCTACGTAAAAGTTTAACATTCTGTCCGTACCGCAAAGAAAACACAACACATCTCCGTTACGAAGATTAACTTATTAACGCTGTTTAAGAAAATAATTGTTTGCGAGTATCACAAGAAATTCGTAAATAAAGTGTGGCCAAAATGCAGAATTATAAATTGTTAAAAGATTCAGACAATACACTTACCACAAGATTTTTTAAAGAGTTAGGAACATGAGTTTTGAGCAACTTAGCTCTCGTGTCCCCGCGCAAAACAGGACTATAATTTCTCGTGTGTGTTTATCGTGACGGAAGGACATCTTGTATGTCCCAACACCAGACTACGCCCTTCCAATTATCTCAGCACGCACCTGGCATCCAGGGTGCTCCAGGGTGATCAAGGAGTGGCCTCGAAAAGAAATAAGGCTCAAATTTTGTATGTGGTTGATGTTAATGGGAATTTGAGGAGAGGTCCAAGTCAGTATCTGAATGTGAAACACGCCATGTACGTTATCTGACTTAAACTTTTGATTAGGCCACTCCTAACTCTTGATATCATTCATATGTCAGTGAACATGTAACATTTATACACCAGGTCAAGTGCAGTCAAATATAGGTTGTCAAACGCAGACATACGCAAGGATTCTTTTAATATCAGGTACCGAAGCGAGCGTGTAAGAATGATAACTTTCATAAAACATCAAAAAACTTACCAGGAGTGTAAATTCTATAACCAGTTGCCTTCCGTGCACTGGCGTTGACCAGCGATCGAAATAATTGGAGAAAACTTGAGTAAAAGAAGATTACAAGGTGTACGCCTACTCTTTGGAGTACGCTGACATTTCAAACGTGTTCTTCACGCTACGTAACGTAGGTCGCTCTTGCACTAATGTGATGATAGGTGTCTGTTGTTGAACCTCGACTTTTATTGAAATTATGTGGTCCAACAGATCTCCAGTAATGGAGATTGCCTACTGCCGTCGGGAAAACGCCCAGGTAGACAGACAGATAACGTGTTCTTCGCTGACGACAGATCGCGAAGGACAGACAATATTACGAGACAATGGCTCACTTCTAGAATTAAATATGGCGGACGTGACGCATAGATTACTTTACTGAAAAGAATCTAATCGAATCGAAAAATATGCTCATACAAAGAGAAGTTCGCTCTTTTGAAGACGCCTCTATAAAATGCGGAAAATTTATTTAGCAACTCAGTGACTGTCATCATATGCTTTGCGGAGTGAATCAATTCGCTCTGGTCATTTGACACTTACCCACCGAAATCTTTGCTGGCGGCTGAACCTCCGAAGTTACAACGGCGCACAAGCAGAACAGAATAACACGGGATCTCATGCTAAGGGCCGCCACACTCTGGAATTGGCGACAGCGACTGCCTCAGATTAGTAGCCAGTTCTCTTGAGATGAGTAACCAACAGTCATCCGCGGAGGGATATCGACCCCTCCTTTTAAACTTGAACAAACTAGGCTCCTGAATCATTTCCGGTAAGAAAGAACGCATAAAGAAACTTTCGCAGAATTAAAAAAAAATCGGATGACGGCGAGTTCTAGAATGATATTGTAGAATCGATGACGATAAGATGGGTGTGTCACGTAACGAGCATTGGGAGATTAGGAATACTTTACTTACTTTGATACCTGAGCACTGTGGGTCCCAACTTTTCGTTGGCTCGATCTATAGACATTCGGTAGGACTCCTTGGATGAGGGATCGGCCCGTCGCAAGGCCTCTACCTGTACACAGTACAGCATGACACAGAAAAACGCGGACAAACATAAATGCCTTGAGTGGGATTCGAACCCACGGTCTCAGCGACCAAGCAACACAAGGCCCACGCCTCAGACCGCGCGGCCACTGTGACCCCGAATTTTGGTTGGGGAAGATAATATTAAAATGGATCTTAGAAAAATATGGTTGGAGAGTGTTGATTTGATTCATCTAGCTCAGGACCGGTGGAGGTATTTTGTGTTCACGGTAATGATCCATCAGTTTCCTCGAAATTCGGGTAATTTCCTGACTCTATGAGAGTACTATTAGCTTTTAAATTCGGAATGTACTCCATGGAGTTAATTATTTTGTGTGTCAATATTATTTTTATCTCTTAAAATAGCTATTTACGTAGACTTTTCGAAATCAAGTTTTTGTTTCATACATTTGTCCACGCAGCCTGCGTTGGTGAGAGTGGAAAAGATGTCAGTTTAGGACAGAGTTAGACCGCGGAGATGGAGTACCGTAACCACCGTCTCCGTGGCTAAGAAACTGTAATGAAAGACGGCATCCGGAGGAGGATTAAGGAACACACAGGAGACAAAACTGTGATTAAGACGGGGTGTTCCGTGTTCCGAGTTATTCGGCTTTTCCTTGCCAGTGTCATTCAACCGCTGTTCCACGTTTACACACGCATCTCAGCGGTTGGACGAAGGGCCCATTAAACGCTTCCACGTTTACACACGCATCTCAGCGGCTGGGCGAAGGGCCCATTAAACGTCCAGTTCCACAAATACACAGTCTCACCCCCATCTCAACAAGGGTAGGAAGAAGTGTGTGTAATAACTTTCAACTCTTTCCATCTTATGATCGAGATTTCTCGTTCAGGAATACAAGTCCTACAACTATATTTTCCAATCACCAAAGTGGCCATTACAATTATTCTAAATAAATCGAATTAAAAAGAAAGTATGGTTAAAATGAAACGTGATTATACTACTAGGTTAATCGCCCTGATGATGGTGAGATAGCAAGGACCCCTGAAACGTATACGATGTGCAACAACCCAAAATATAGTCATGCGCCGTGGTTTGTCATAGAAAATGTTATCAACTTTCAGAATAAAGATAAGGCTTATCTCGCTATTTTATCCACATATGTGTTAGCAGGCGCGAATAATATATTAGCTCATTACTACGTAACTAAGAATCGGTTTTAAGTTAAACAAGTTTTCTCGAAGAAGCGCCAATTTTATCGATATTTTCAAGAAACTGGTGTACAACATGGCGTCTGCTTCTGGTGTTCTGCTGTTGTATTTATTTTTATTATTGGTTATTACGTACGAAACGAAAGGTATGTGGGAGATAATCAAAAACAGATAAATAATGGCAGGTAAGGACGGCAGCCATGACACAACGTCCGTTGTACGTGACAAAGAAACTAAAGTAGTCAAATAGTTACGACGACAGACAAAAACAGGGACATTTACTCCTCGAAATATACGTAAAGACAAAGAACTTCCTAGTGCTTCATTAACAACCATTAGCTCTACGTTCCCAAGACGAATAAAAGGAATTAACTAACTAACTAACTCATTAACAACCACGTTAAGAAGTGTATGGGGGGAGTGGAAGCACACCTCCACGCGTTCTTAACCTCGACAAGTAGTCGCGAATGCGAGATGTAAATCTTTTGTTTCTCCAGGTTATGATGCTCTTATTGGAGAAGCGTGTGAAATCGACAGAAACTGCATTTCGAGTCAAATGGTTTGCAGCCCTGGTCGTGTCTGTGAATGCATGAGAGGGCATTATCCCTCCGAAGACAGAAGAGGGTGCATAGCCAGTAAGTTATCCTTAATGAAGTGCAGGCCTAAGGCTGCTGTCTTCTGGGTAGACGTTTGCCAACATTTCAGAGGTCCTTGCTGCCTCCATCATCAGGGATATGAGTCCTAATTATAGACCTATACTGTAGATTCATGTCTGGGGTTTGCTGAATAAAGAGGTGTCCTTTCATTTATTCCTTTCCGATTCAGCAACACGCCGTCAAATGACACGCGGAGGAGTCTGTATCTCGTTTGTGCACAGACGCCGCAGAAGTAAGTCCCATGGGTTCTGGGGATGACGTTCCTGTAAACAAATTAGTACGTGATTATCAGAATAAACAGCGATTATTTCCTTAAACAGCGTTAACCAGTTGATCTTTGTAATGGTAAAGTGTTGTGTTTTCTCTGCGGTACGGACTGAATTCTTAAATGTTATTCAGACGAACTATGATTCTCACTGTAACGAGCGATTATCTCCTTAATCAGCGTTAACCAGTTGATCTTTGTAATGGTGAAATGTTGTGCTTTCTTTGCGGTACGGACTGAATTCTTAAATGTTATTCAGACGAACTATGATTCTCACTGTAACGAGCGATTATCTCCTTAATCAGCGTTAACCAGTTGATCTTTGTAATGGTGAAATGTTGTGCTTTCTTTGCGGTACGGACTGAATTCTTAAATGTTATTTAGACGAGCTTTATTTATCGAGAGCATAAACCAGTTGATCTTTGTAATGGTAAAGTGTTGTGTTTTCTTTGCGGTACGGACTGAATTCTAAAATATTATCTGCCCCGCGTTAGTTGTGGCGTCTCTCGCCACTTTCATTTGTTTCTTCCATTCAGGTTCGCCAACTAAAATTTCGTACTTATTTCTCATATTTCCCGTGCGTGCTACATGCCAACCTCCTTGATACAGCATTTTTAATTTCATAATTACCCTCATTACTCCATCTCCCTCATATCCAATCATTCCCCTCGGCACCCAGTTATCCAAAACCTTCGCCCTGTGCCTAAGTGTCTATGGACCATTCCTGGGGACAGGAACTGGTTTCATGTTTGCCAACGTTTCGGAGGTCTTTGCTGCCTCCATCATCAGGGCGTGGGTAAATTTCTACCAGACTACACGGCGCTGCAACCCAGAAGACAGCCATCTTCGGACTCACGACCGTGAAAACCTCAAATGTTTAATAATTTTATGGGTAGTGAACACATAATCGTGGAGTTTTATCTCTTTGTCCGGTTTACAGCTACGAGCGGGCTCTGTTTCGAAACTTCTGACTGCAACACTCTGCCTTCCTCAAGCTGCTTTATCCTTGACCAGTTCGAAGGAACATGCACGTGCAACGACGCCTACACGTCCAGTGAAGATGAGCGGGAATGTCTACCCGGTAAGGCGTCCGTCATTGCGCAAGAACAATTGACATTCTGAACAACATAAAAATGTGTATCTCCTTAAAATCGCAAAGACCCGAAAATAATGCCAAATTTACTTGATTCTCAAATCAGTTTTCCACAGAGAATGTAGCAAACTCATTTATAGGCTATTTGTAATCGTAAACAAATGCGTAATTGTTCCATCTCCCACAATATTCGAGTATGAGATAGGATATAATTGGTTATTTTAATATTTCTATTAGTTCCTAAATATTGTGGAAATTTAATAAACCCCAAGGCGGCGTAATTTGTATTTGAGACTCTCACCAATTTTAACTCTGAAACTACAGGTTCCTACCAACAACCAAGAAACACAAAGGCCAATGAGAATTAGACACACAGCCCCCAAAATTGTAAACAGCGCGAAATATAAGCACGTGAAACATTTTGATTAAAATTTTTTAATTATGATACTTACAGATGCATCTTTCCACGGATCGTGCAGGGAAGCTGTGCAATGCGTTTCGAGGCTCGGTTTTTATGCTGTCTGCAGGGAGGGACAATGCGAATGTCAAAATAACTATCACTATTCGATTACGGAGGAGCGGTGTATAGGGGATGTCGGTGAGTACTGATCAGGGACATGAAGAAGGACTTCTTTAACACCACGAAATATTTCAAAGGACGAGACCGATATTATCAAAAAGAGACATCAGACCGCCTCGGGTCAGAATTCCAACAACAAAACTACAAAATGTAGGTAGAAATACGTAAAAGATGGGATAAGAAGGAAGACGTGTGATCTTATTTAGCATCCTAGCATTTGTCTGGAAGAAATAAAGAGAAGCAATGCATCTCAATCAAAACAGTTTGTCCCCGGGTCGAAATAATTCGAACCCAGGACTTTCAAAGCAACGTCCGCTACGATTTCGGACGACGTGGGGGTTAGGTTAGTTTGTCAGCACTTTCAAAGCAACGTCCGCTACGATTTTGGACGACGTGGGGGGTTAGGTTAGTTTGTCAGTGAATTAGAAATTAGAATTAGACAAAAGCGGTAAATATAATGGGACCTTATAATTTGGTTTTAATTAAACGTTCCACTCCTACCAAAGACTAAGCCCAGATACCCATCTTTATAGGCTTCTCAGTCGAATTGTGTTTGCAGGTTTGCTAGGGCCGTGTGTGAACACTTCGCAGTGCGTCACCCGGGGTGAGCAGAATGCCGTGGTCTGTCTGGATGGAAGGTGTTCATGCTCCCAAGGATACGAGCAGTTTCAAGATTACTGCAGAGGTACCGTGAAATGTAACGTAACTCGTCATAACGCGAGTCATGCACAGAGGAATCTAACTATTATATATGAAACAAGTTGAGATGACAAAGTTGCGTCATATTGTGATAAATATATATTTGT